AACTCATTTTTCTGGGCCAAAACTTTGGAAAACCCTTGGTAACTCATAAAACACACATGTTTAAAGCTTCAATTCAAGAAATCATGGCCCAAGAGTAAACCAATTATGCACAAACTCAACTTAAACTTTATAAAAGATCCAAAACATGACATGCATGAACATTTTTGAGCTAAGGCTCTCCAAATAATGATCAAATGCTATCAAACAACATGAAACTCATTGTGTTTCCAAAGTGAGAACGAAATTAACACATGCATGAAGGAATTCTTTGAAAGGTAAACTCAAAACATAGAAATTTATGCATGCATACATGGATTGACTCTCAAAACAACACTTTGAGCTAAGTTTTGACTTTAAATACCAATTTCACCATGGACCTAGCAAGAACAACTCAATTTCCTAATTGAAAGGATGAATTCCCTACCTTAAGTCTTGAGTTCAAGGTGTGCTAGCTCAATTGTGTAGTTCTTCTACAAATCCTCAGATTTCCAATCCCAAGTTTTTTGATGAAACCAAGCTTCTCTCACTCTCCCTCTTTCTCACGGTTTTGAGTCTAAGAAAGAATGGCTGAGATATGTACCAAAAGCTCCTAATCAAGATTGAACAAAGTGGCCCACTAAGAGGCAAAAATGTAATTACTTGCATTCAACTAACCTATGTTTAACCTAGCATTATTTAATTTAATTTAATCATTCCTAACCGAATTTTAATTAAACCTACCATAAAATTCTATAAATCCTAACTAGCACATATATCAAGTCAATTTCTGACTCGGATGCCGATAAGGTTTTCAATGCGCAATTCAAAACTAATAACATGAACAGATTTTTCTACGCCTAACAGATATAAACACAAGAATGATGCTATACACATACAAATTAATTCTGGGTTCCTTCTAAATTACTGTTAGGCGTAATTAATCATGGATTAGCATTAATCGGAGGTCGGGGTTATTACAGTCTCCCCCCCTTAAAAGAGTTTGGTCCCCAAACTCGAATTACCTTCATTCTGGAACAACATTGGGTCCAACGGGAACAAATCTAGATATCTTTTCATCATGTCTTCCTCGATTTCTCAAGTTGCATAGGTCCCTCCGTGGTTTTGCCAATCAACTTTTACTAGTGGTATTTCCTTATTCCTCAATCTTTTGACTCGACGATTCACAATCTGGATAGGTTTTTCTTCATAAGTGTAGTCATCTTTCAAAAGCACATGTGTCAGTTCGATGACGTGGCGTGGATCTCTCAAATATTGCCGAAGCATCGATACATGAAAGACGTTGTGCATATGTTCCATGACTGGATGCAAGGCTACCCGATACGACACTAGATTGATCTTTTTAAGGACCTTATAAGGTCCAACATACCTTGGCGCTAACTTGCCTTTAATACCAAACCAAGTTTGACCCTTCATCGGCGTCACTTTAATGAACACATGGTCCCCAACTTCGTATTCCTTATCTCTTCTTCGAACATTAGCATAGCTCTTCTGCCGACTTTGTGCAGTTTTCAGACGCTGTTGTATCAGTTTCATTTTCTCCGTTGTTTCTTGCACGAGTTCCAGTCCCAACAAAGGTCTATCACCTACTTCAGTCCAACATATTGGAGAACGGTATTTTCGTTCATACAAAGCTTCATAAGGAGCCATTCCAATGCTTGAATGGTAACTGTTGTTATACACAAATTCAGCTAATGGCAGATAGGTTTCCCAATTCCCTTGGATGTCTAATACATACATTCTGAGCATATTCTCCAGAGTTTGGTTCATTCGTTCAGTTTGGCCATCTGTCTGCGGGTGATAGGCACTGCTCAGTCTCAATTTAGTCCCCAAAGCCTATTGCAAACTCTGCCAAAATCTCGATACAAACTTTGAGTCCTTGTCAAACACAATAGATACTAGCACTCCATGCAATCTCACAATTTCAATCATATAGATATTGGCCAATTTATCAGCGTTATAAATAGTTTTGACAGGCAGAAAATGGGCAGACTTAGTTAAACGGTCAACTATAACCCAGATAGAGTCTATACCTCGAGAAGAACGATGCAACCCCACAATGAAGTCCATGGTAATGTGCTCCCATTTCCATTCCGGTATTGGGAGTGGTTGCAACAAACCAGCGGGTCGTTGGTGTTCAGCTTTAACCTGCTGCAATGTAGACATCTAGCCACAAAGTCTGCAATACTCTATTTCATTCCAGGCCACCAAAAATGCTGTTTCAAATTATAATACATCTTCGTGTTCCTCGGATGCATAGCAAATTTACTACTGTGAGCTTCGGTCATAACACGTTTCCTCAAATCATAACAATCGGGCACACAAAGACGGTCCTGAAATTTTAGCACATCATTCTCAAACACAAATCCTAGCCTCGGCTTTGAATCAAATTCCTCCGTGATCTTTTTCAGGTATTCATCCTCGCACTATTTCTGTTTGATCTCGTCAAGAATTGTAGGTTGAGCGGCAACAGCAGTAAGTAGCCTATCTTGTTCTAGGTCAGTCAACAATTTTTTTCGGTTGGATAGCAAACATGACAAATTCGCGCTAAATTTTCGGCTCAAGGCATCTGCTACGGTATTAGCCTTTCCTGGATGATATAAGATCTGCAAATCATAATCCTTGATTAGTTCTAACCATCGTCTCTGTCTCATGTTTAATTCCTTTTGGGTGAAGAAATATTTCAAACTCTTATGGTCTGTATACACCTCGCAAGTCACCACATACAAATAGTGACGTCATATTTTCAAAGCAAACACCACAGTCGCTAATTCAAGATCATATGTTGGGTAATTCTTTTCATGGGGTCGAAGTTGTCTGGAAGCATAGGCAATCACTCTTTCGTTTTGCATTAGTACACACCTCAACCCTTTGTAGGAAGCATCACTGTACACTTGAAACCTATCAGTACCATTAAGCAAGGTTAAGATTGGTGCAGTCACTAACCTGGTTTTCAACTCTTGGAAAGCCGCCTCTCTTTGTTCATTCCAGTCAAATGGCACATTTTTCTGAGTTAACTGAGTCAATGGCATAGCAAGTTTGGAAAAATCTTTCACAAATCTTCGGTAGTAACCTGTAAGTCTCAGAAAACTTCTAACTTCTGTTACGTTCGTCGGTCTAGGCCAATCCACAATAGCTTCAATCTTCTGAGGGTCAATAGAAACACCGTCCTCATTGATCACATGTCCCAAAAATGCTACATTGTCAAGCCAGAATTCACAATTGGACAATTTAGCATACAGTTTCTTTTCTCTCAAAATTTGCAAAGTAGTTCTCAGATGGTTCCCATGTTCTCCCCTTCTCTTAGAATAAATCAGAATGTCATCAATAAACACGACAATGAATTCATCAAGATATCGTTTGAAAACCCTATTCATTAGGTCCATAAAAACTGCAGGTGCGTTTGTCACTCCAAAAGGCATTACCAGGAATTCATAATGTCCATATCTAGTTCTAAATGCAGTTTTCTCTACATCTTCTGCTTAAACCTTTAACTGATGATAACCGGACCTAAGATCAATTTTAGAGAACACTTTAGCTCCTTGGAGTTGATCAAACAAATCATCTATTCGAGGTAAGGGATATTTGTTCTTAATAGTCACTTTGTTCAATTCTCGGTAGTCTATACACAACCTCAAAGATCCATCCTTCTTTTTGACAAACAAGACAGGAGCATCCCAAGGTGAAGTGCTCGGACAGATAAATTTCTTATTTAACAGCTCCTGAAGTTGAGTTTTTAATTCCTTCAATTCTGAGGTAGACATTCTATAGGGGGTCTTAGAAATAGGTTGTGTCTCCAGAAACACCTCAACAGTGAATTCAATCTCTCTATCAACTAAGTCCCCAGGTAAGTCAGTCGGGAACACATCGGGAAATTCACAAGCAACAGGGATAGTTTCTACATTAGTTTCGTCAGATGACGCAGTCAGTACACAACACAAGTAACCCCTACATCCCTTCTTAAGCAGTTTTACAGCTTTCATAGCCGAAATCAAATATGGGGGAGGAACTACCCCATTCCCAATAAAAGTAAATTCGGGCATACCCGGTGGTCTAAACACGACAGTTTTATTCGCACAGTCGATGGTAGTACAGTATTTAGTCAACTAATCCATCCCCAAAATACAATCAAAATGGTTAATGTCCAAGGGTAATAAGTCCATATATAACATCATATCGCCAATCATAACGTCACATGCCGGATAAATATGAGTGCACATCATAGAATCCCCAGACGGCGTAGATACAAATAACACATATGTCATAAATTCTAATGGTCTAGTCAATTTTCGAGAGAAAGCATATGATACAAAGGAATGTATAAAACCAGAATCTATCAATACGCATGCATCTTGAGAACATACAGAGAGTGTACCTGACACCACGGTATAGGTGTTTGGTACGTCACCAGGCACTAAGGCGAACACTCGACCCTGTCTCAAAGGTTCTTTCCCAGTATTGGCCCTCGTATTCGTCTTGGATGCAGAAGCGGATCCGGCTGAGCTTGCCGCTGGTTGGTTGGTATTTTCGAACCTGATAGGACAATCCTTCATCATATGACCAGTATTTCCACATCTAAAACAGGCGCCCAAAGCTTGATAACAATCCCCCTTGTGTTTCTTACCACATTCCGAGCAAGTCGGTATAGTACCACTACTTTGGCTTGTGCTACTGTAAGATCCCGTGTTTTGCCTCTTATTCCCAGAAAATGAACGACCCTTTTTGAAACTATTTCCATATCTTTTCCCCGTCAAATCAGTTTGTGGGGCAAGAGTTTGTTTCTTCGCTGCTAGAATAGACTCTGCCATTAATGCCCTATCCAAAACATTCACGTACGTGGGTAGGTTCAGGACTCCCACCCTATCCAATATGTCCAAATCCAATCCCCCCTCAAACTTGCGGGCCTTCTTGTAGTCTGTGTCCACCATGTGAGAAGCAAATCTTGCCAACTCAGTAAACTTAGCCTCGTACTCCGCTACAGACATTCTGCCTTGTTTGAGTTCCTAGAATTCTGAAACCTTCCGGTCTCGGAAGCACTGGGGAAAGTACTTGTCATAGAAAATTGTATTGAATTGAGTCCACGTCATATTCTCGTGGCCATTTCGAATTAGTAACCACCACCTTTGGGCTTCATCCTTCAGAGTATAGGTGGCTAGGAGGACTTTCTGGACTTCAGAACAAGGGAACACCTCATACAGTTTCTCCATCTCAAGCAACCACGTCTCTGCTTTCAATGGTTCAATTCCATCATAGAATGTTGGCGGTTTCATTTTCATGAACTTCTGTGTCAAGTTGATGACGTCACCGGTGCCCATTTCAACTTGAGCCGGTAGGGGTGGAGGTGGTAAAGGTTGTTGCCTCTGTTGTTGCATTACCACTTTGGTTAAGGTTGCAAGCATTTGTTCCATTCTATTCATTCAAGCATCAGAGGACCATGCTGTGTCATTATTCCTTGCATTGTCCATTTGCTATAGGTAAACAAAACTTTATGTATTCAAATTCACATGTTTATACTTGAACTTATGCTTTCACTTTCGAACAATACACATAAACATGCAGATGAAATGCCCTTACTTCTTGCTAGGACTTCCTAAGCTCATATGGACCAGTGTGTGCGGTAGAACACGTGCTCTGATACCACTCTGTCACGACCCAAACCGGCCCCTGTAGGTTTAGCATTGTAACCGGCCAGTAATTCGTGGATTACCAAAGGCCTCTAAACATATTAGTAAATAATAAGGGGCTGCGGAAGCAATAATACAAAATAGACAAAGTCCAATGAGCTGTGATAACGTACATGGGACATAACATTTTAAAACTTATTTATATATATATGAACAAGCGTGTCGGTCGGAGGACCTCAATATTTACAAACCATTTACATAAGTGGAGTTCCCAAGACCTGACTTTACAAACATTCAGAAACTAGCATAAGTACAAAAAACAGCCATACAACTAGACTTCGATCAGAACCTCCTCGGGAGGAACAACGGTTGGCTGACAAAAACAAAAATGAAGGCCGTCAACTCTGGCCCTGGTCACACGCCAGCTCACCTACATACATAATATAAACTGTGAGCTAAAGCCCAATGAATAATAACAGAGTAAATGATTTAATGAATGATGTCCATCACAGAGTTAAAAATCAAATTCTTATCAGAAACAGATTCACAATCATATTCAAAATCATTACCATATTCAGATTTTGCATATAATCATACGTGGTACGTCCCTTAGCGTTAACAAACCCGATGGCCCATAAAGGGACAGCCTTGAAGGCATTCTGATGACTCATGTGCACAGAGATGTTTCTGATGACCCATAAAGGGACCTGGTGACCCATAAAGGGACGCATATCATATGATGCTAAGGATGCCACGAATAACTTTCAGAATTTTGGACAACCATTCATTCATTTCGAATATAGCATGACATTTTAGAGAACTAATTGCTTCGCATCTTAATATTCAGAAAATAATTAACATTAAACATAACTTTACAAAGTTATTACTCACTGATGATTGGTAGCCCTAACTAGATGGTAAGACGGCCCTTCACTTGTTCTGAGGCGCGTGACCTACATGAACACACATACGAACACACACTTGAAATACACATTCAAATTGTACATAACTTATGTCGTTTGCTCTTAGTGTGCTTCTAACCTTTAATCCTCATTGTGGAGTCTTAAACATGGCTTAGAAATGCCTACGATGGAATGAGGATGCAAAAATGCATTGGAAAATATTTCTCAAGATTTGCTAAAAATAAGGTCCACACTCAAGCGTAGCTTTCCTCGTTCGAGCGGACATGCTAACAATGAAGTTTCGCTCGAGCGTACTGTAAACTCATGAAAAAATGCTGGATGCATGATTTTTACGCTCGACGGGCGCTCGACCTACGCTCGAGCGTGAGACTCAGAGCCTCGCTCGAGCGTGGATTCCCTCGCTCGAGCGGACTGTAAAACACAAGAACTTCTAGGTATATGCATTTCACGCTCGAGCGTAAACATCGTCGCTCGAGCGGAGTGCACGCTCGAGCGTAGAGTTCCACGCTCGAGCGTGGATCAAATTTTTGAAAATTCCAGATTTGATCACCAAGCTCAAATTCAACAATCAACCATCCCAAAACTCATTTTTCTGGGCCAAAACTTTGGAAAACCCTTGGTGACTCATAAAACAATATGTTTAAAGCTTCAATTCAAGAAATCATGGCCCAAGAGTAAACCAATTATGCACAAACTCAACTTAAACTTTATAAAAGATCCAAAACATGACATGCATGAACATTTTTGAGCTAAGGCTCTCCAAATAATGATCAAATGCTATCAAACAACATGAAACTCATTGTGTTTCCAAAGTGAGAACGAAATTAACACATGCATGAAGGAATTCTTTGAAAGGTAAACTCAAAACATAGAAATTTATGCATGCATACATGGATTGACTCTCAAAACAACACTTTGAGCTAAGTTTTGACTTTAAATACCAATTTCACCATGGACCTAGCAAGAACAACTCAATTTCCTAATTGAAAGGATGAATTCCCTACCTTAAGTCTTGAGTTCAAGGTGTGCTAGCTCAATTGTGTAGTTCTTCTACAAATCCTCAGATTTCCAATCGCAAGTTTTTTGATGAAACCAAGCTTCTCTCACTCTCCCTCTTTCTCACGGTTTTGAGTCTAAGAAAGAATGGCTGAGATATGTACCAAAAACTCCTAATCAAGATTGAACAAAGTGGCCCACTAAGGGGCAAAAATGTAATTACTTGCATTCAACTAACCTATGTTTAACCTAGCATTATTTAATTTAATTTAATCGTTCCGAACCGAATTTTAATTAAACCTACCATAAAATTCTATAAATCCTAACTAGCACATATATCAAGTCAATTTCTGACTCGGACACCGATAAGGCTTTCAATTCGCAATTCAAAACTAATAACATGAACAGATCTTTCTACGCCTAACAGATATAAACACAAGAATGATGCAATACACAAGCAAATTAATTCCGGGTTCCTTCTAAATTACTGTTAGGCATAATTATTCATGGATTAGCATTAATCGGAGGTCGGAGTTATTGTGACGCTCCAAATTTTTTTTGAACAACAAAGGAAATTAAATAAACAGAATGACTTAATAAACTAAAAAGTTGACATCTTAATAGGGTAATCCAATTCTCGTACATAACCAAACGCCCAAATAACAATAGATAAAAACTTAAAATTATCCAAATACAACATCAAATGAAATTACAAAGTCCTTAATATCTATTATATAACATTCTAAATTACTGTTAGGCATAATTAGTCATGGATTAACATTAATCGGAGGTCGGAGTTATTACAGTTTTGGTGTTAATTTTGTGATCTTAAATTGAGTTTTCACTTAATTTCTTGGGATAGATACCACACATTGAGGTTTTTTTGGTTGTACTGCAAAACTAAAAGACCTAGCCCCAACTTTTTGAGGTGTTTATTAATGAACACTTTCTCTTTCTCTTTTTTATCTCTTTTCTTGACTTCCAAACAATTCTTGAACTTATCAATTTGTGCAAAACCAAGGATTAATTAGTAATCTCCTTTTTTTAAAAAAAAATCTTTGTAAATGAATTAGTGTTACCTTCATCATAATTAGCCTTTGGACAATGCGTGCGTGAATAAAGAAATAAAATCAAAACAATAGCAAATTTGAAGCAATTTTGGATTATGTAAGATGATGTAGGATTATGTGTGATTGCAAAGAAGATCAAATTTAATTGAAGTGTACAAAAAATTATGCGACAGTTTTGAAATAGAAAAAAAGAAAAAGTAAAAGAAAAAATGAGAACTTTATTAATGTTGGGTGTTTTCTATGATTAGGTTTTCATCATGTTTAAAAGTAAAATAAAAACTAATTAATGTTGTTTATTCTAGTAGACAATCATGTTCAAGAATTCAGTAATGTCAACTATTTATTTTTATTTTCAAGTAAAAAAGAACACCTATCCTTGTAGATACATGTGGTTTGGAATAAACATTCCTTTTTAGGCCCAAATGACTTTTAGTTCTTAATTCCCTCTCCTTTATAATAACCTTTTATTAACAAAGGTACTACTAATCAAATTCTCATGCTTAGTTGATGGTCCCAACTCTAGTTTAGCAAAAGGGTCAACTCCCATAAAAATTATAATTATAAATCAAAGTAAATTAAATCTTGTATCTTAATCAAGTAGAGTTGATTATATGGATTTGGTTTTGTCATTCAATCCTGTTATATAACCGATCCCAATCCCAACCCCAAATAAAAGAGATTTGTGTGTTAAATAGTATGACAACAAACACATAAAAAATTCGTCAAATTTCTTGCTTGCCTTCGAGCATTACAAAAAAATAATTATAAACATAGTAAGATCAAGAAAATGCCAAATCAAAAATAATTGCATTACTTGAATTGATCCTGCAAGGTAAGAAAGAACCTTAAGGTAGGCATATTGACTTTAAATTAGTCATTTGTTAATTATCTATTAACTTTATACTTTGGTTATAATCGTTAACTTCTTAGTGAAATGTAAATGTTGGAGTCTATTTTACAACTAAGACTTTCCTTCCTCGAGTTATTATTTTCAATGAACCAATTTAAATATATAGACAAAATCATTTAAAAATTAAATAAACAAAATTGATAGTTAAAGATAAAATATAAAAAATAATGATAATTTATAGGATAAAAATAAAATTAACTTTTTTTATATAAATATACTTACTATAATAAAAAAGAAGGGGGGAAAACCAAAAACAAATAGTTACAAAAAGTTATAGAGGATGTCAAAATGGGAAAAGAAATTGAAAAGAAAAAGTAAAATGTGCTTTGTTTGTCCCCTTTTAATTCTTTTCACTTTTGCTTTTCTTCTTTAATCAATCATTCACCACAGCCTTCGAACCAAGCAATTTTTTGGATGCTGATATGATAAGATTTTTACATGATGGTTTCTTTTCTCTCTTATTTGGTTTAGAGAGTGAAATTTATTTATTATATTTATATTAATGATTGAGAAATAACACAGAAATATTTTGAATACAAAAATTAATCATAAAATCACACGTATTGTGTTGGAAATGGTTATAAAATTCTGGATAAAACCAGAATTTTTTCCTAAGTTCGGTCTATTTTTTAGGTGGGCCCCGAGTGTCGATTTACTCGGGTCAAAGTGGTAACGCGTTCTATGCCGCGTTGTGATTCACGTGGTATATTTGGTTGCTCAAAACCATTACCGAGTGAATGAGAAATTGAAGCCAAAGTGTGCTCCATAGAAATGAAGTTTTGGTAAAAATTCCTTAAGGTTGTAAATTGGCTTGTCCCACATTGTTTTGATGGGAGGTTTTGAAAGGGTTTATAAGGCTTAGGGTGAGATACTTGGGGTGTGCCCCAAGGGGTACCCAAGTGTTTTAGAGGGAGAGGTTATGGGCTAGACCCATTGGACCCAAAAATCACCACACGCGCGCCGCCGTCCGTCCGGGCGGGGCTTTAAATTAGTTTGGATTTTTTGTTCATCCAAACAGGGTCCTTCCCGGTTTCAAACAGAAATAAACTGTTTTGGAATTAATGCACACCCAAACAGGGGAATTAATGCACACCCAAACAGGGCCCTTCCCGTAATTGCTATCTGTTTGAATTCAAAACCCAACAGGTATCATACATGTTCAATTCAAAACCAAGAGCCACATACATGTTCAATTCAAATCCAAGAGCCACATTCACACCTATAAATAGGACCACCCTCATTTGATGTTTTTTAATTTTCAGAAATTTCGTATTTCACCTCTGTTAATTCTATTCTTCATCTTGCTGCATTTTATTTCCGAAAAAAAGAGTGTAAACACTTAGTGTGTTCGTAAGACAAACAATTAGTAGTGATGCTATTGTTTGTGGTAGATCATTTTATCCTGGGAGATAGACGTCTGAATTCTGAAAGCACCGTGGAGAGGACGAATCTGTCTTAAGGACACAGTGTTAAACACTGGACTTGATCAGAAAATAATTCGAAGAAATTAAATCAAGTAAGTTATTTAATTTATTTTCAGTGTTGTTTTTATTTATTTAAATCAGATTTTAATTTTGTTTTTCTAACAAAATAAAATCTGTTTTTATTTATTTATTTTTATTTCGAGTTTGATTTTTGTAATCGAACAAATTCTCTCTTTTTTCTTTATTTCTTTAAATTCTATTTGTTGTTGTGTACACAATAGAATTAAATCTTTTAAATACAGTGAAGATTGTCCAACAGATTGTACATATATGAATAGATAAATTTTTACAAAATTTATTAGTAAAATCTGTCTATAAAATCTTATTCATGCATTTATATATATCATGCGCCTCATTTTGTAATTTGTCTTAATTTTTTTATTTATTTATAAGCAAATAATTAAGCAAGATTTCAAACACACATTAGTCAACACCAATCCGACTTTGTTTACACACTAGATAATGTGTGAATAATTTTTTTTTTAATTAGTTCAAATGTAAAGCCTACAAATTTAAGTGAAATAATATACTTTTTAAATATAACATTTACATTTTTAAATCAATGATTTGGGATATTACATTTACATTTATATTTTTTTAATTATATAAAAAAAATATGCTTGATATGGCATAATATGTCATGTTTTTTGTCTTAAATTCTTATTTTGTCCTTTGTAAAAATTCAAGATAGTTGATACAAAATTGATGGTATGTTGGTTTTAACAATTCATGCCAAATACAATTTTTTGTATTGAATATTTGACTTTTTTTAACTTCAAAATCAACTATAGAAATAAAACCTAAATAGCGTATTAGCACACTTTGTGGGTGTTTGAGAAGTGAATTTTTTGTAGGTTTTTTTAGTTGTAGGATATTATTAGAGAAAAAAAAATTGTGTATGAAAAGATGTTAAGTTTTTTTGTGGTTGGATGTGATGTTTGTAAGAGAAAAAGTGAAATGATTATGGGATTTGATGTGATATTTTGTTTGGATTTGTTTTTTTTTTTTAATTTTGTAACCAATTTGTCTTTTAGTGAAAAAAAACAAAAAATGTCCTTCCCAAACGCAATTAGAGTCACAAAAAAGTGTGAGTGAACTAATGTATTTTACCGAATTATCCCCTAAAAAAAGAAGATTGTCAGTCAAAAAAATTTAAGAAGACAAAAATCTAAATATGAACATTGTATTTTACATGAATTTGGGGGTGCCTGCTGAGAATCTCATCCATAGTTCACTGATGGTTTCGCTGAGACGTTTTCTATTGGTGTCTTGTTAAACCATTATGCTTTCCAAGGTTTGCATAGCCATTCCCTGATGGTTTTGTGCAGTTGAATGATCTATCCATGCACAATCAACAACCTTCCCATATTGCACTTGTATAATATTTAGGACAAATTACACCCCCTTAAAATTTGGAAAAAAACACAATATAATCTATAAATTTGTATAATTACATGTCTTTTTAAGATTTTAATTCATATAATATTTGACTTCTTTTTCATCAGAAATTTGTTAATCGTATTTATAGAAAAAAAATGATATCGTTATCTCTATTACATTAAGATGTATATTTTAAATTGTGCATTGTTGGGTCTTCATACAATATACATTCATTTTGGCGTCTTTAGCCACTACTTTTTTTTTTATTTTAAAAATCAAAGACAAGCGTATATATATATATTTTTTTTAACTTGATTGGATCAATTAACAAAATGACTTAAAACAATGGTCTAATCAATTGTAGGTCTATTTGGTATCACTTATAAGTTGATTTTCATAATTGTAGTTTACAAATTTAAAATAAGTTGTAAATCTGTTTAGAACAATTTTTTAAAATATATATATATATATATATATATATTTTTTAAAAGGAAAAATTACAACAAAAAAAAACTCTCAGAGTTTGACCATTATAACAAAATAAATCATGAGTTTTTAATTTTATCAATTTAAACATTAAAATTTTGATTTATTTTCATTCCAAACTATTTGTCTATTTTTATTAAATAAAATCAATTGAAAAATAATATTTTAGTCATTAAATTTAATGAAAAAAAGAATGTTTATACATTTTATGTACCCTTAAGTTGAGTTTAATGACTAAAATATCACTTTTTCAACAATTTTACTTAATGAAAATAAGTAAATAGTTTAGATTGAAAATAAATTTAAAATTTAAAATGACAAAATTAAAAAAGTTAAGATTTATTTTGTTATAAGGGGCAAATGCTGAAGTTTTTTTTTTATAATTTTTTCAAAAAAAAAATTAAACGTTTATTAGTTAAGCATTTTGTACATTTTTTTTTTTTTTACGCAAATATTTGAGATACTGTCAAAAGTTAATAATTAAAGATATTATATATTATGTGAAGTGTATTAAAAATTGCAAACAGACAGCCAGACAAAAGGGCAATGGCTTAGCCAAAACGTAACCGTTTAATGGGGCAGCTGTAATGCTGTGCCTTTGGGAGTCTCTATTTGCACACTACCTTTCTTCTCAAAGTACATTATTAATTGATTTAATTTTTATTACAATATTAATTTTATGTAAAAGGATCACAAAAGACAAGGACTATGACACACACCTTTTATAAAATTACCATGAAAGACTATAATGAATACAATACATACTAAGTATCTCAAACATTATTTACGTATCTTCTCTTTAAAGAATTCAAAAATCCTGAGATAAAAATCAAAAACCCTTAAAGAAACAACCAAAAATATACATATTATTAAAGATTTTGATTGGACTGAATGATGGATATATCTGACAATATTGGTTTGGAACAACAGAGCAAGGAAAATGTTAGTTTTTCATTTTTTTTTTGGTTTTCGTTTACTTGCTGAGCGGTAAATCTTTTGTATTCATTCGGTTATCCAGAGTCGAACAATATATCCATGTTTGACTATCTATAACCGAACAAATTATATATGTTTGATTTTATAGTGTCGAACTTTGCTTGGCTTACAACTCTTGTACCATCAGGAACTGATAGTGTGAAAGGGCCTTTATAAGCCTGCTAGAATATTGTGAGTTCTGAAGTCACTAAAGTCATCTTGTCTTAAACTAATTTAAATTTCAAACTGTGAGATCCAATAGTCGCGATTCAATTTTGCTCGACACTCACATTTCGAACATATTGAAATTGTTCGACAGACTAAGTTCGAATAGTTTACTATAGTTTACTTATGTTCGACACTAAAATGTCGAATATATGGAATTTGTTCGAGAGAAACACTTCGGACAAAAGGTTAATGTTTGACAGACACTAGGGCGAAAATGGAAGATATGAGTGAGGTGTGTGAGTAAGGGCAATAATGGAAGATTGTGATGTGTATTGAGTAAATTTTGTATTTATCAAATTCCTAAATGTGTGCCTTAAATAGTGGTGTACCTTGAGATAAAAATGTTGTGGGTAAATAGAAGCTCCCGTGCCTTTGACACCGTTCCCAAGACGATATTCTGCTGCATATACAAATTACAATACAACCAACTCCTTATAAGTTTTTTTGTGATTTTTTTTTAATAGTGTATAAATTACATTTTGTCTATTTTATATTAGGTCATTTTTTTTTATATCTGTCCTTAAATTTTTTTTTTTTTTTTGTCACTTCCACTCTTTATATTTTAAGTTTTTTAAAATTATTCCAAAAGTTAATTTATTTTAAAATTAGACAAAAAAATCACGATAATTATCACATAACATAAAAAAATATATTATTATATTAGAATTTGAGTCTGTATAAGTATGAGTAATATATAAGAAAATATTTTTATGTTACATGACTATTAATGTACAATTTTGTATCTAATTTTTAATAGAAATTAGTTTTGAGAGTTAACTAAAAAAATTTGAAATATGAAGAATTAAAAGTAAAAAGGAAAACAAATTCTAAAAATCAAAATAAAAAAGTGACTATGGATGGTTTAGAATGATCTAAATAAGTATATTTTTTGAGTTTTTATAAAATATGGATTGAGTATAGGTTGAGTTTGCAGTGATGTGATAAGGAGATGATGTGGCTTAAATAAAATTACGTGACTTAAATAGGATAGTAATTTTTTAATTTTTTTTTAAATTATGACAAATAAAACCTAAATATAAAAAGAATATAGTGTAATTTTTATTTTTTTTTAATACCATGTTATGTACTTCTAAGTTCGATTTTTTTTTGTGTTTTTTTGGGAACAGGTTTCAAGTTGAAAGCAATATATCACGCATACAAACAATTGCACAGAATTAAAAGTCTACCCCTCACCTTCTCTCTTTCGTCTCTCATCCTACAGACAAACTCAAAAAAGTCAAGTCACAACGACTCCATTTCCATTACTTTTTGAAAAAAAACAAAACAAAACAAAACAGACGCAACGACGATACACACCATAGAAGCATTAGACCATTACAGGTCTATCTATCTTCCCGCTGATTCCGCTGATTTGTGTTCTCATCTCAACCCCCCATCATACAACAATTCTCTCTCCTCTCTACACCTTCCGCAATTCTCGCACAATTGAACAAAAAGCAGGAGAGAGAGAGAGAGAGAGCAGCTCTGTAAAGAGGGTTTTGGCCCTTTTGGGGGTATATAGCCCATTTCCTCTCACATCTTCACAGTTCGTGCAGCCACCATTGCTGTCCAAACTCAAAACCCACTTCACTTGCCACATTTCTTGATCTGGGTCGATCTGGGTTTGTCTCCAAACTCAACCAATGTTTCTGGGTCGGTGACAATTTTTTGGTTTTTCTTCATGGGTTGTGTGACCTCGAAGCAGGCGGTGTCGGTGACCCCTGCTCTCGATCATTCCGGCGCCTTTCGAGACAATGCTGCTGCGGGGGGCTCGGGGAGGAGCCGGGGAAGTGGGGTGGTGGACTTGGAGAAGAAGAAGAAGAAGAGGACTGACTCGGGGGTGAGTGAGAACGAGTTGGGTGAATCAGGGAGGGTGAGTTCTAATGGAGGTGGTGGCGAGTCACTGAGTTTTAGGTTGGGGAATTTGCAGAAGTATGTAGAAGGAGAGCAAGTCGCCGCCGGTTGGCCGGCATGGCTCAGCGCCGTTGCCGGCGAAGCCATTCACGGTTGGGTGCCTCTCAGTGCTGACTCTTTCGAAAAGCTGGAAAAGGTTGCTCTCTCTCTCTCTCTCTCTCTCTATGTACATTGTGTGTGGTCCAATTATCAGTTTCCATGGCGCGTTAAATATTGAAAATGCTCAATTTTGATGCTTTTAATTTTAGTGCATATACAACCAAAACATAAAATTAATTTAGTTCATTGTCTTATTTGGATGCTCTAGGATCTTGATTAACTCAGTAGGACTCTTTTTTGTTTTTATTTTTGTTTTTTTGGACTTTGTTGTCTTATTTGGATACTCTACTAAGGATCTTAAAGCTTGTCCTTTTTTATCATGGAAGTTGAGAAATTTCCCTATTTTCAGTTGCAGAACAGCATATGAGCTTTCAGATATATTGAATTTTTTTATTTTTTTGGTCTTTTTTCTTTCCCAAATTGGGTTGTCATTGTGTTATTCATGTTTTTTTGTAGTTTTATAAAACGTATTTCGGTAGCAAATTTACAAACTGCTGATCATAACTTGTTTCATCTTGACATCATATCGCAATTGCATGTTTTATTCATTTTTCCGTTCCCTATTTTCTTCTTTCTTTTACATTGCTACAATGGTGATTCACTTCTATGAATATTCTGAAAGTGTAAGTAATTCCACAACTCCAAAGACTTCATAATGCCTTTTGAAGGATTTTTATTTACCTGGATTGTTTAGTCAATAATGCTTTAAGCCTTTTTTTCATTAATCGGTGGGATACAGTTAATACAGTTACTATTCTAGAGCTACTAATTACATTTTAACTTGATGATTATTACTTTTTTTCCCCCATTATAAATGTTGCTCATTCACTTGAGCATAAATTTAATAATTTCTTTTTCTTTTATCAAAATATCCAGGGTTGATGTAATAAAAAGTCACTTTTGTTGGATTATTCTTTTACATGTATCTTTATGTTTGCTTCTCAAAGGTTTAAACAGGTTTTCTGACTTTCTTTTTTTTCTTTATTTTTCCTTTTTAATTTTTTTTTTTAATAAACAATTTCAACTGATGTGGCAGGTAGGACAGGGCACTTACAGCAGCGTGTTCCGTGCACGCAACTTAGAAACTGGGAGGATTGTAGCTCTGAAGAAGGTGCGATTTGATAATTTTGAGCCCGAAAGCGTTCGGTTTATGGCACGAGAAATAATGATACTACGCAGGCTTGACCATCCAAATATCATAAAACTGGAGGGCTTAATTACCTCCCGATTGTCATGTAGCATATACCTTGTATTCGAGTACATGGAACATGACATTTCTGGACTCTTATCTTCCCCTGACATCAAGTTCAGTGAAGCACAGGTTTGCTTATGTTGATTTTTTTTTTTATTCAACAAACTTATAACTAGTGTGTGCTTATCACATCACAATGAAACACCCTAATTTGGGTTTCAGTAGCATTGGACATTTTGGTTTGTCATTTGCTTTGTAAAAGTCATCTGCATAAGAATATAACAATGTGAGGAAAACTCAGTTTCCTGAAATTTTGAAATGTTAGTGAATGCTAAGCACAATCAGTTAATTGCTATGTCAAATACTGAAAGATGCACATTCTATTTTGAAATGCTAAGAAATGGAATACTTTCATTTCTCGTGTTCAAATGCCCCTTCGTTCTACTGGACGAGTTAATATTTTCTAGGGTAAATTATAGTGACCTCCCAAAGATTTGGAGAAAATACAATAAGCTCCATAGTTTTGGCTTAATTACACCAAGCTTCCTTTTAATAGGGCTAAAGGGACTAGAATTAATGCAAATGGTGTAAAGACACAAAGATAAACAATGGGAAATATACATTTTAGTGTAAAAGAGATGATAACATCATTTTTTCATCCATATGACTAACTAATTACTGATTCAACTGATTGTAAGATTCAACTGAAATTGATTATGTTTTGTAGGTTAAATGCTACATGAAACAGTTGTTATCTGGGCTTGAGCACTGCCACTCTCGGGGTACAATGCATAGGGACATTAAAGGTGCAAATCTTCTGGTAAATAATGAAGGAGTTTTGAAGATGGCTGATTTTGGATTGGCAAACTTCTGTGGTACTGGCCCTGTGGGGCACAGACAACCTCTAACCAACTCATTTCATCACTTTATGGTACCGTCCTCCTGAACTTTTGTTGGGTTCCACGGATTATGGAGCCTCAGTGGATCTCTGGAGTGTTGGCTGTGTATTTGCTGAACTACTCCTCGGGAGCCCCATCCTTCAGGGCAGAACTGAGGTAATCTTCTTTGACCTTACTAAATGATTTTATGATTCTCCGATATATGGGTAAATTATGTCGGTAGTCCCTACATTTTGCCCATTATATCATTTTGATCCTTACACTTTCAACTAACTCAATTTTGATCCTTAATTTTGAATTTTGTGTCAATTTGGTCCAATTGATAATTTCATTAGTGTTTTTGACATAAAATAATCACTAAATTAGTTGAGGTGAACTCATTGAGTTGAGCAACTTTATAATTTTGCTCTTAAAAATATGACATATGCCATTTATATGCATATTGTTCATATATATATATATACGTAAAGAGTTACAATCAATTAGACCAAATTGAAGCAAAATCATAAATTCAGGGTCAAAATTGAGTCAATTGAAATTATAGGATCCAAAATGACAGAAGGACCAAACTACAAGGACTGCTGTTGTCATTTACCCCAGATATAATCTTAATCATTGCTGCATGATCAAAAAAGTGAGGTAGATCTTATCATCATAATAGGAAGATATGTTTCTCCTGGGAAAGGAAACACATTCTATCAGTTCTTGGAATTTCTTTTGCAGAATCTTGCTCCATGATGTTCACCTTAGTGTAATGTAAATGCTTATTTGGAAGTTTAGTTATTTTTGTTTTTTAATGACTCTTGTGAATGATATTTTGTCAGTTGGTTCAAATTTGTACAATCTTGGGCTCCTTGCAGAGACCTTCAAATATATGCATCCTTGTGATTGCAATTCAAATAGAGGATTTGGCATGCACCTTGTGAAAATCTTGAGGAAATAAATTTTTTTTTAAAAATGTTTTGGTGCAATTGTCTCAAACTATGCTAGCTCAAATCCTTTTAGACGAAGGATTAAATTGTGTATGAGCACGTTACTCCTAATTCCTAAAATGTTTATATCCAAAGGATAGAGACTATGGATGAGATTCTCAACTAGATTCCATAGGATGGGATGTCAAAACAAGTATGTCAAACCAAATCAATCCCTTTTAGTGATGTCTTTTTTTTTTTTAAGGAGCATATACAAATCTATGGGGACATAATGAGATTTCACCCTTCATTTTAGTATAGCCATTTAGTAGTGACAATTGATAACACTGCCATTAATGAGACAGCTAAAAGATAACTAAAAATTGGATGCTACATATCTGAAGGTGTGAATGTCCTTGGATGATCATAACTCATGAGGCAATGTTTTTGTAGTTTATTACGGACTAGTAAAAATAACATGCTTTATCATATACAACTATCAAATAAATATATAGATGTTACTGTATTTAAATTTGATGTCTTTTCCAGTTGAAATTCAAGAAGAAATGTTCTTGTTTTACCTACAGGTTGAACAATTACACAAAATTTTCAAGCTTTGTGGGTCCCCTCCTGATGATTACTGGAGAAAGTCCAAACTTCCTCATGCTACTCTATTTAAGCCCCAGCATCCTTATGAAAGCTCTCTCGGGGAGACTTTCAAAGATTTACCAAAAACGGCTGTGAATCTGATAGAAACTTTACTCTCTGTGGAACCATATAAGCGTGGAACCGCATCTTCCGCTCTTGCATCTGAGGTATCATGCAGAAACTATTTGTAATTATTTGTGTTTTATCTTCAGTTGCATCATGAATATGCTTAATGTTCATCTTGTACTTGCTATCCTCAGTATTTCAAAACAAAGCCCTATGCATGTGACCCGTTGACCTTGCCAAAATATCCACCAAATAAAGAGATTGATGCCAAACATCGTGAGGAGGCACAAAGGTAAGATTTCTCATCTCCTTTTTTTAGCGGTACATGGAAGAATTTGGCAGCAAAACATGTGACGAATCCACTGTAGCCTAGCATCTAAAACAGAGGGAGCATTTAGGTAGTTTTTGCAATATTAAAAAAAAAAAAAATCAATAATAATGGTACAAGAAATATTTGAACAACAACATAATTGCAAGCTACTATTGTGGAATTGAGGTCATTTATTAAAGGGAAATGCTAACCACTGGCCATTTGGTTAATTTATGTATAAAAAATGTAATGAAATATTTGAAAAGTGTATAGAAGTTGACCTTGCCAAAATATCCACCAAATAAAGAGATTGATGCCAAACATCGTGAGGAGGCACAAAGGTAAGATTTCTCATCTCCTTTTTTTAGCGGTACATGGAAGAATTTGGCAGCAAGTTGTCTTTTGAGAATTATAACCGACTTGCACCGGGTTTGCAGGAAGAAGCCTGGTGGGAGAGTTCGAGGACCTGAAACAAGAGCTAAGCTAACTAGAAAACCAAATGGAATCAATAAATTGGCACCGGCAGAGGTATCTCTCTCTCCCTCTTTCCATTTTACATCTATAACTCTACATCGTAAAACTATATCCATGTGTTCTTTTGTCTGTGGCATGTGTTGTAGCCTGTGTTCCATGGACTTTTATATTTTCCCAAAAGTACCCATATCCACTAGATATGACAAGGTTAAGAGTGTTTCGAACACTCATACCCAATTTGGACATTTGGATCCTTTACTCTTTCTATTTTATTTTTTATCATGTTTGAAAAGAAAGAAACTCATATATGCTAGTAATGAAACATTTATATCGTCTCGCGTGGGTGAGATATAGAAATTCTTTATTTTTTCTAATCCTACTTAGTTTCGAGTATATTTCCACATAATTTACAATGTCTTATCTAGGAATATTATATAAGACGCAATATATATGTTTCCATGACGTATCCCTGTATGTATCTATATATCCAAGTTTTGGATAAATATTCCAATATCCCTATATTTGATGCTTGAACACACACCAACACTTGATACTCATACCTGAGTCCATATAACATAGGTTGTAATTGCTTCAATTGTGGAGGAAATCTTATTCACATTAATTAACTTATTACACGTGTGCAGTCTTTGCCAGCCCAAACTCACAGTGCCCAAAAAATCAACAGTCATAAAGTAACTATTCGTAAGGAAGGAGATATCATCTTAGCGATGGAGCCACCTAAGCCATCAATTGAGGTAACGGAAGAGGCTTCCCACGTAAAGCATGCATCTCAAGGGGATGTCCCCTTTCCGGGTCCATTACAAGTTTCAGGGTCAAGCGGATTTGCATGGGCAAAAAGGCGAATAGATGAATCATCAATGAGATCACGGAGTAGGTCTAGTTCAAGGAGCCTCATTTTAGAACCTTCAGGTCCATTGCATGCAAAGAATGATTCCGAGTCAAATAGGCATGAAAATGTCGAAGTTGTACTTGGAAGTCGCACTAGCTCTAGGGGTGAAGATTCCTACGAGATTGTCAAGCATGCAATGCTAAAAAATTGGAGCCAATTAGAACGTCCAGATTCTTTCGATGCTTCTGACGGGTACCACTCGCAAGAATTGTCGTTGGCACTATATCAAAGAGAGGAGATGGCAACTAAGAGGATGAGCTTGGTAAGTTCATACTTTTGACAACATTTTGTGATTTTTAATTTTGATATCAATTTCAACTTTAATTTTGGTTTTAGTACTACAATTTCCTAACGAAGCTAGAGACCGTCAAACTTCTATATGGCAATGGTTATTAGAACCTTATGATTCACAATTTGATTTACGATTTGATTTGAGTTTCAACAAAAATGATCTGATTTCTATTTTTAAATCTTAAATTGAGTGAATCGTACGATTCAATAGTGATCCACTACAATCATTGCAATTCACTACGATTTAATGTGATTTAGTTGTATTTGCATAATGCATGAAAAGCTGACGTTTTCACAAAAAGGAGAAAAAAGATATAATTATTTAAATTCTTGATCTCTTCTCAATTTCGCTAATATTCTTCACATTGAACTCGACGCAGGTTTATCAGGATCAAGGAGACAAGGTTGAGTTTTCAGGACCCTTGTTGTCTCAATCACATAGAGTCGATGAGCTCTTAGAGAGGCATGAGCGGCACATCCGCCAGGCAGTTCGGAGATCATGGTTCCAAAGAGGTAAAAAGTTGTAGAAAATTACCAAAAATGAAGATTAAATTTATCTTGTTTGGTATTGAAACTCAAAATTTGTTTTTAAGTTTTTTGTTTTATTTTTTATTTTTCTTTAATTAATTCCAAATTTCAGCCTAGATGCAGCTAAAAAGTAAAATCTTTATGAGTAAATATAAAAAAATTTAGCTGCATCTACTAAAAGAATTTGACAAAAATGACAGAAAAACACCACACAAAAAAAAAGAGAAAGGTTTCAAAAACTGAAACCACACAAGTTATGATTTCACGAACTTTCATATATAGTCTACCTTCTTTCATTTTATTTTTATTTGTTATTTTTATTAAAGAAATTTGTAGTTCATCATCTCACTTGCAGCCCTATTACTGGATTGCTAAATTTTGCAACTTAGATTAGGCGATGGATTGGAAATGACTGCCGTTATTGAAATTTACTTAATTTATTTGAGAAGATACAACTAATCATTAGTAAGAATGTTGAAAACATTGCGAAGTTGATAGTTGTGAATTTATGTATATTATTATCACACATGACCGATAATTTAGTTTGACTGCAGGTAAAAAACATGGGAAATGATCGTAAGGTGTACTTGGGCTCAAGTCACTCGTTTAGAGGAGCACGAAGATGTAGGACAATTGCTAACAGAGCTAACAAACCCAACGCTTACACAAATGAACTGTCAGTTGAATTCAGTTGAATGAAATTTTCTGCATGAGTACTGAAAATTGGATAAAAAATGACTAGTTTGCAAAGCTCAGACAGAGGCCATGAAGAGGAAGCCATCGATAGCTCATTCTTTTCTTCTAGCAAAGCATTCAGTTTTTTTCTAGGTTATAATATCCACTACCTACTTGTTTCCCTCTCATTTTCTCTTTTTCTTCTTTTTAAGCTTTTCAGATCGACCAATTCTCTCCCCGGCAATGTATATAGTGCATTTCATAGGTCCTACGGATGATCTATGTATATTTCTATGGTTCATGAGGCTTCTAGCATCCGGCTTATTTCTATTTTCTTTCTTCTATTTTTTTGTTGTGGTTTTTTTTATTAATGGCTTTGCTGTGGTAAATAGTTCTGTGACATTTGTAGGCAATTTTACAAATAATGTTGAACCATGGCAATGGGTACACATGTGGAAGTGTCTTAGGTTCCAAGTCTTGTAGGCCCTAATATGGGCTATTTGCTTTTACCCTGGAAAGAGTAAGGGTGGATTTTGGCTATCAAAAGAAGAAGAAATCTTATAAAATGTATTTTCTATAATGATGCAAGGATAGTGGTATTTTTGTAATTAGAAAGATATTTTTGTGGGTACTTTAAAGTGAGGGCTTTCAACTCAACTTTAACCACATAATTAATGTTTTTGGTTGGATTTCGCTTATTGTTGCATTCAGTCCTAATTAATACATATAGTTATTAAGGATTTATTTTATAAGGTCATGTTTTTTTCAGGCCCGGCCTTAAAATTTCTGAGCCCAAAGCTAATAATCAACTAATAAATTTTAGGGCCTTTTACATTTTTTTTTCATTGAATGAAAAAAAAAATGAAAAAAAAAAAGTGATGGTAAAAGACAAAAATTGTGTCAAAATTACAAAAAATATTTAATATTACATTACAACAACTAATAAGTATCGTTTAATTCTTGCTCTTCTTGCATTTTTAGAAGCAAATAAATCAATCATACTTGTATAATTTAATTTTTTTGCAAAATCATTTTCAATGGATAACAATGTTAATTATTTTAAATGGGTCTTTCAATTTTTTAATTGGTCAATTTATTTTAAGTTAGTTTGGATCTTCCTTAACTTTTTTTAGATTTAAAACATACCTAATAGGAGTATATTATAATAAACTATAATAGGAGGGGACTATTTTTTTTAGTCTATTTTCAATGGATAACAATTTTAATTTTTTTGAATGGCCTTTTCAATTTTTTAATGGGTCAATTTATTTTGAGTTAATTTGAACCTTTTTTAATTTTTTTTGAACTTAAAATATACATAATATATTATACTAAACCATAATAGAATTGGCCCATTTTTTTAATCTATTTTGAAGGGCCCTAGGCCATGGCCTGGTTGGCCCATGCCCAGGGCCGGCCTGGTTGTTTTAGGGATATGTTTTTGAAATTGGACTAATAGTTCAATAAAATACACAATCTCAAGTTTGGCTAAGAATATTGGGATATGGACTAATAATCTACTTGAACATTGGACATGATACAAATATGGGAACTGTTAAGGCCAAGTTTGGCATACACAAAATAATTCATCTTTTTATTTTTTTATCTTTTTTTCATCACATTATCTCTCTATTTTTCTACACATCTTTTCTTAAAAAGATAAAAAGTACATTTATTTAGATCATCCCAAACAACCTCTAAATCTCAAGTTGGAGGTGCAATACAAAATGGGAATTAAATAGAGGTTCGGCCTTATTGCTAACTTACAAATTGAATTTTTTTTTATTTATTTATCAAATCCTCATAATCATAGGTCAATTCAAACGTTGAATAAGATATGCAATTCAAAGAATTTAGTAATTCCAAAATTAACAGTTCTAATTCAGTTCCAAAAATGAACCCTAGGCCTGGCATTTTTCCAATTGCACCAAAAGCCCTTACACAGTTTGAACCTTTCATAGGTCGAAGCCTGGATTGACAGCCCAAGCTAAAATTGGTGGCTTAGTCTTTTCAATGCACTTCACCAAAGGCCCATTGGGTTTTAAAGTTGTGGGCTTGGGCTTCTTCTTTTAGGCCCTTTTGAATTAAGTGCTCGGCCCAAAGCTACTGATCTGGCGCAATTATTCCATTACTTCCTGATTTAATCAGCCTTTGGAAACATCCGATAAAATTGGAACAATAGGGAGAAGATTAGCATGGACAAGGATGACACACAAATCAAGAAAAGGTCCAAATTTCTATTTACCCAAAAAAAATGGCCTATTATGCTAGAAATGTTCTCCATGTGGTTGGAATCTCAAAATATGATATTTTGAGAGAGAGAGAGAGAGAGTGAGTGTGTGTTCCAAAAACTAGCTAAAACCAAATGAAAAAGTGAGAAAATCCGATGTGAATTACAAATCTGTGGAGAGAAAATAAAATAAGACTTTTTTTTAATTAAGACTAAGTTTGGGAATTTATAAAAAAGTTAAAAAGTTAATACTATTCACCAAAAGTCAACAATTATGACTGCACAACTCTCAATTCGAATTTTTCCCTACAAATCAATTTTTACAATTTTTTATTACATATTTTTTCATAAAAAGTCAAAAAGTTAACCTAAACATCTATATTTTCAACTTCAATTTTTTAATCTAAAAAGACAAAAATGACACTTATTTAAGACACCCAAACAACCCTTCACTTATATTTCAATTTTTTCACTCTGCTAATTCATAAACTAATCACAACATAAAAGTTTTCACCAAAATACACGTGTACCCATGTTGAGTGTATTTTGACAAAATTTTTGATATCTCTAACACCAATAAGAAAAGCAAGGATGAAACATTTGATTCTAAGTGACATTAATTTTCAATGTCTTAGACAAAAGCAAAATTTATTTGGCTGTGCTTTTTGTTTTCTTCCCTTTTGTTTTATTATTTTTAGAAATAAAAATAATTATTAAAATTTTTGAAAAACTCTTCTTTTTTCTACACGAAAATAGATGTTTCTCAAAAGTGGGTTGTTTTAAAACAAAATAGAAAATAGTTTTTGGAAATAATTGCCAAAACCAATTTTTTTTGTGTTTATTAGAAAATGAAAAAAAATAAAATATCATGTGAATTTTTCTTGACTAGATACAAGTAATTTGGTTCCTGTCTATATCTTGATATATATCTGTGTTTATGATTGATAGCAACCAAATTTTAGTCCAAGCTATAAGACATGACACATTGTGAGCTTTTATGTATTGGATTTTCATTTTTAGAGAATCGTTGTCGAAGTTTGATGAAAATACAAAGTATTGATTAGTAGAAAAGTGCATATACATTGTGTAAATTGAGCTATCATTTCCAAGTTGAGATAAGCCTTAAAAACAGGAGGTTTAAAATCGATCTATATCATCAGTAGTTGCAATGTGAACATCATTGGAGATGAGGACACACACCATCACAATCTTGGGGTGATAATGGGAAACAGTTCCACTAAAAGCCACATTCAATGGGGGGGGGGGGACATGATGGCAAATCATAACATGGGGTGTTTTTGGTAATTTGACTCTACAAAAACTATTTCCAAAGATAATTTTTTATGTGCACATATTTTATTTTAGTAATATTCCGATATGTGGCCTCGTTTGACATGCAGAAGTTTTAAATTAAAAGTTAAAAACTTACTAAAAAAATTAAGAAGTCTATATAACAAATATCAAAACGTCAAAGATTTCATTTTTCCTCTATTTTTTGTACATCTTTTTGTTAATGTAAATTGTAAATGTAAATTGTACTCCACCTACCACCTCCACTTCACCTAACACACTCAACTCTACCTACCACCTCCACTTCACCCCCTACCAGCACCACCACAATCTGCTACCTTCTCTTCTATATATAGGAGTTGTAATCAATATACAGATAGACATCAATCTTGTAACAACAAATCAATCAAAAATACATGTGTTTTAACATGGTATCAGAGCTATAGGTTAGCTCTTGGTGATCTTCACCTTCCGGCGGGCGGCAACCTTGCCTTCACCGCCCGCCGGACCCCAACCATGCTTATTGAAACCTCCAACTCCATTACCTTCTGGTCCATCATCTCCAACGGCAGGTTCTGCAAGTTCAGCCAACCTCCATGGCTCTTCTAGCTCGAAACTCACATCGAATGGCCCTAGTCGCATCACAGAGATCAGCAACAAACCTGTCTCACCTTGCTTTCGATACAGTTCACAACAACCCATCAGATCTATCTTCTTGGCTCGAATCCATGATCACCGAGCTCAACCCTCTTCCTGAATTTCCCTCTGCAATAGCGTCAGAAACACCCAATCCCAAGAAAGTGAATTTCGTCCTCACACCAAGCCCTTCCGATGCCAGAACAATTGGGTCTCCAGGACCCTCCTCAGCCAGAGGCAAATCGGGGTTCAAAAATCTTCTACCGAAACTGAGCTTCAAGGCTCGGCGTTCTCAGTCCGACGCAGAGAGAGCTACTGCACATCCAGTAGTTGAAGCTTCGTCTCCATTGCCTTTACCGCAAGAGAAGCCTTCTATCTCGAGGTCATGGTCGCTTACCAGAATTTTTACTCCCAGGATGAAGAGTACAACATCATCAACACCGTGTTTCTCCAGTAGCCTGGCAGCAGTGCATGTAGTCATGATGATGATGATGGCGTTGTCGGAGGAGCTGTGGCAGAGCGATACGAACACGACAGAACGCATCTACTCCCCCGATCTCGGCGGCTACGGAGACACCGATGCTTCTCCTTCCGCCACCAGCTACACCGTCCTCCACATCATCAGCGATGGGGGGGGGGGGGGGGGGGACATGATGGCAAATCATAACATGGGGTGTTTTTGGTAATTTGACTCTACAAAAACTATTTGCAAAGATAATTTTTTATGTGCACATATTTTATTTTAGTAATATTCTAATATGTGGCCTCGTTTGACATGCGGAAGTTTTAATTTAAAAGTCAAAAACTTATTAAAAAAATTAAAAAGTCTATATAACATATATCAAAACGTCAAAGATTTCATTTTTTCTCTATTTTTTGTACATCTTTTCATAAAAAATCAAAAAATCATTCCAAACATACTAATTTTTTTTATCTCATATTTTAGCTAAAAAACTAAAAAGTTACTAAAATAGTATGTTACTAAACGAGGCCTAACTTTTGTACCCAAAAAAAATATAAAAAGTTCAATTATTGACATTTGAATAACTAATTTTTGTTGAAAAGTTAATATCTGTACCGCCTAAATAATGTATATTGAGATTATATATGCTGTGTGAATAGAATTGCTCATTTCAAAGTTCAAAATACACTTGTTTTTCTCTTGAACACTCATATGTACAAGTGTTGATTCACAAGGTACAATATACAAATGGATGAGGCGGGTGTAAAGAAAAATTGAGCGTGTGTAGAAACTTTCTTCCAAACATGATAATGATAAAGAAAGGAAAAGGGTCCAATGGACCAGTATGTCACCACCACAGAAAATGACTGCCTTTGGTTGTTTCTCTTACATCGTGGTTGGTTAAGAAATTTGAAAAAAAATATTATAAAATTATGTAAAATATAAGTATATCAAGAAATAGAAAAAAGATAGGTAAAATGTAAATAAAATATACTTACATTTCATTTAATTTTATACATTTTTTCCTTTTTCCATACCTAATACAGACTTAATCAATCAAATATCTATATTTGAATTTTATTTTTTTTTTTTAAAAGTAAATGTTTGTTTTAAGAGAAACAATTATACTAGGTACGCTATTTTACTCTGTTTGGCAAGAGCTTTTTTAGTTATTTTAGTCACAAAAAACAAAATAAGCTATTTTAGCCACAACAAATAAAACATTACATCCAACCCATAATTATTACACTCTTCTTTCACAAAAAAATCAAAAAAGCCAAAAAGTCATTCCCAAGCCAAGCTTTTATCCTAGGCTAAAATAGCCAAAAAAGCAAAAAAACCAACCCACTTCCCAAACGGAGGCTAATGTAGTATCTATCATACATAGGACTAGTCACATTATTTGATGATGTCATTTTCATTTATAAAACACCGGCTCTAAATTAATTTTCCATGGAGTTGCGTAAATTACACATTAATAGTACTCAAGTATGATTATTTTAAATAAAAAAAATTAAATATTAGAAAAAACCAAATTTATACGTGTCACAATTTTATCAAAAAGTGAATAAAATAAAATAGGAAGATCACTTATAGTTAACCTCTTATTCTCGGCCATTAATTCATCAGATATTAATTGGTTACTAGTTTTCCTCAATTTTCAACAATTCTACTTGGTTGAGGATAATCAATGCTTGAGTTGTTTGTTGCAATCATAAAAAGTGGATAAATGTGCTAATTTGAGTTTTAACTTCACTGCAATCACTTTTAATGCAAGTAATATTAATACAAATGCCTTTTTTATTTTATTATAAAGTTGAGATTCTTTACCTATAATGACATGACAACTTATCACAAACTTAACTATGTAAAATTCTATTACTTTGCAATGTGAGTTTGAGTGAATTGTAAATTCAAAATTATAAATCTTTAACAATCCTTCTGTTTTAATACCCAAGCCATCCCCCGGCACAACCTCCTTAATTAATGAGAATCAAATGTGGAGAATAGTTTTATCCGAATGATGCTTCTCTTAGGTCCTTAGTCGGATTAGAGGGGTTCAATTGGCACATTATTGAGTCCATTTTGGAATTGAGTCCATTTTGGAATCGTGTTACTGGTTTAAACTATTCATATTGAACAAAGCAGATAATTCATGCCAAAAAAAAAAAAGATTGAACAAATATTAAAATTATAAATTAAATAATATTTATCTTAAAAATAATACATGACAAGTATAATTTTAAAAATAAAAAATTAAATTTTTTGTTACCCAATACAACTATTTCATTGAACTATAACTTTTGCAATATGTTGATTATGCCTTTACTAAGGTCTCGTTTATCAACTATATATTTTAATTAAAAAGTCAAAAAGTCATTATAAATTGTCATGTCATTTTTTTTATTTTTCTGGATATTTTTTTGTAAAAAATTAAAAAAATATTAAAATAATCTATCCCCAAACAAGACAATAAAGACAACTAATATCAAGAAACAATATTAGCTAAACTATAAATTTTGGGTTGAGTAAGTTGGGCAGGGTCATTTGATGCTTGTTCAAAGCTCAACTTACATTCACTTTGGAATTGGGGGTCCTAATCAAATACCAAATGGGATTT